CAAACCATATTTAGATAGGAAATTTAATTCTGAGTTCAATGATATAAAAATTTATAAAATTAAACTAAAGATGTTAGCCTTTTCCCTTCGAACGTTGCATAATTGGATAGGAAATTTAATTCTGAGTAGAATGATATAAAAATATTCAAAATTGCATATAAGATGATAGCCTTTTCCCTTTCAACGTTTTTACCACAAAAAAATTATTAAAATTTTTTTTTGAACCGATAACGTAAAAAAATACATCAAAGCATATTTAGATAGGAAATTTAATTCTGAGTTCAATGATATAAAAATTTATAAAATTAAACTTAAGATGTTAGCCTTTTCCTTTCAAACGTTTTCGCGACAAAAATGTTATTTTTTGAACCGGAAACGTAAAAAAATACATCTAAGCATAATTGGATAGGAAATTTAATTCTGAGTAGAATGATATAAAAATATTCAAAATTGCGTTTAAGATGTTAGCCTTTTCCCTTCCAACGTTTTTACCACAAAAAAATTATTAAAATTTATTTTTTGAACCGATAACGTAAAAAAATACATCAAAGCATATTTAGATAGGAAATTTAATTCTGAGTTCAATGATATAAAAATTTATAAAATTAAACTTAAGATGTTAGCCTTTTCCCTTCGAACGTTTTCGCGACAAAAATGTTATTTTTTGAACCGGAAAAGTAAAAAAAATACATCTAAGCATAATTATATAGGAAATTTAATTCTGAGTAGAATGATATAAAAATATTCAAAATTGCATATAAGATGTTAGCCTTTTCCCTTCAACGTTTTTACCACAAAAAAATTATTAAAATTTATTTTTTGAACCGATAACGTAAAAAAATACATCAAAGCATATTTAGATAGGAAATTTAATTCTGAGTTCAATGATATAAAAATATTCAAAATTGCATATAAGATGTTAGCCTTTTCCCTTCCAACGTTTTTACCACAAAAAATTTATTAAAATTTCTTTTTTGAACCGATAACGTAAAAAAATACATCAAAGCATATTTAGATAGGAAATTTAATTCTGAGTTCAATGATATAAAAATTTATAAAATTAAACTTAAGATGTTAGCCTTTTCCCTTCGAACGTTTTCGCGACAAAAATATTATTTTTTGAACCGGAAACGTAAATAAATACATATAAGCATAATTGGATAGGAAATTTAATTCTGAGTAGAATGATATAAAAATATTCAAAATTGCATATAAGATGTTAGCCTTTTCCCTTCCAATGTTTTTACCACAAAAAAATTATTAAAATTTATTTTTTGAACCGATAACGTAAAAAAATATATCAAAGCATATTTAGATAATTCTGAGTTCAATGATATAAAAATATTCAAAATTGCATATAAGATGTTAGCCTTTTTCCTTCCAACGTTTTTACCACAAAAAAAATTTTTAATATTTATTTTTTGAACCGATAACGTAAAAAATTACATCAAAGCATATTTAGATAGGAAATTTAATTCTGAGTTCAATGATATAAAAATTTATAAAATTAAACTTAAGATGTTAGCCTTTTCCCTTTAAACGTTTTCGCGACAAAAATGTTATTTTTTGAACCGGAAACGTAAAAAAATACATCTAAGCATAATTGGATAGGAAATTTAATTCTGAGTAGAATGATATAAAAATATTTAAAATTGCAAATAAGATGTTAGCCTTTTCCCTTCCAACGTTTTTACCACAACAAAATTTTTAAAATTTATTTTTTGAACCTATAACTTAAAAAATCACATCAAAGCATATTTAGATAGGAAATTTAATTCTGAGTTCAATGATATAAAAATTTATATAATTAAACTAAAGATGTTAGCCTTTTCCCTTCGAACGTTTTCGCGACAAAAATGTTAATTTTTGAACCGGAAACGTAAAAAAATACATCTAAGCATAATTGTATAGGAAATTTAATTTTAGTAGAATGATATAAAAATATTCAAAATTGCATATAAGATGTTAGCCTTTTCCCTAATCCAGTACTCACAATATCGTTATACTTACTATCAATTTAGTTTTGAAAAAAAACTTAAAAAGAATATACATATAATTTTAAAAATTCCATTATTTTAAAATAACCAAATATAATTTAATTAAAAATATAAATTAAAAATTAATGAAATTAAATAAAATTATAATCGCAATTTATTTCAAAGAATTAATAAAAAAATTGAAATATTAAAATCCATTTTTTTTAAATAACCAAATATAATTTAATTAAAAATAAAAATTAAATAAAAATAAAACCGCAATTTATTTCAAAGAATTAATAAAAAAATTGAAAAGATCTTAAAATTTCCATTTTTTTAATATATTATATTCCATTTTTTTTAAATAAATAAATATAATTTAATTAAAAATATAAATTAAAAATTAATAAAATTAAAACCGCAATTTATTTCAAAGAATTAATAAAAAAATTGAAAAGATCTTAAAATTTCCATTTTTTTAATATATTATAATGTAATAGTGCGTACAAATTGTGCGTTGCAACGCAGCGTTTTAAAACGCATATAAAAAAACGTAAACGCAGCCATGTATAAATTGATGCGTTAACTTTTATTTTTTCAATATGAAACATTTAAATTTAAAACAAAAAAAATTACTTGCTTTGTATTTACTACAAAGAAATAAAGGAAGGAAGAAGAGCAAGACGTCCAAAATATTTGTTAAAAGAAATCTTTTTTCGGAATATATTAATATTAAAGGCGATTTAACAAATTCGCAATTTTATAATTATACAAGAATGAGAAGAGCGACATTTTCTTATATACTGGAGCTCATATATGAGGATATTAATCCAAAAGTTACTAACTGTAACAAACAAATCGATGCTGAGGATCGTTTGTTTGTTACATTAAGGTAAAATAAATTTAATTTATTATTAATTATTTATATAATAGGTATTTAATAACTGGTGTATCATTTGCACAACTAGCTTATAGTTCAATGATCTCAAAATCCTGTATAAGTTATATTGTGAAATCAGTGTGCAGAGCAATTTGGAATGCTGCTGCACATATTCACATGCCTAAGCCTAATAAAAATGATTGGGAAAAAGTAAATTTATTATAATAAATCAAGATTAATATTTACTTATCTTTAGATTTCCCAGGAATTCCTGCTTCAATCAGGATTCCCAAATTGTATTGGGGCTATAGATGGCAAGCATATATATATCAAGAGCCCTGCCAATAGTGGCTCACAATTTTATAACTATAAGCATAGATTTTCTATTAACCTGTTAGCCCTAACAGATATTAACAGGAGATTTATTTACATAGATGTGGGTGCATATGGAAAGCAAAGTGATGGTGGTGTTTTTAGAAATAGCTCTTTATATAGAGGTTACTTTATATTAATTTTAATATATCTTATAAATATATTAATAGAATTGATGAACCATACACTTGATATGCCTGCTCCCAAACCATTTCCAGGTTGTAATGAGGCCATGCCATTTGTAATGGTTGGGGACGACGCATTCCCTTTGTCAAATTATTTGATGAAGCCCTACCCCAAAAGAAATCTGACAACAGAAGAAAGGGAATATAACATGAGGCTGTGCCATGCTCGAGTAAGTGTAGAAAGAAGCTTTGGTGGAATAGTCAAAAAATTTGACATTCTAAGTAAGCCAATAGAAATAGGACTACCTAGCATAGAGATAGTGATAAAGGCTATTTGCATCCTACATAACATTATCATCAACAAAGAAGGATCAGCTTCCATTGATGATATAGGTAATACCAATATTTAAATTTAAATAAATATATAAAAATCATATTTATATATATTTTTAAAATTATATTATCATCAATACAGATCCTACATTGGCTAACCTTACCACAAGACCATTTTTGGCAAGCAGGGAAAACAACTCAAGCTCACAGGAATCTAAAATTATTAGGGATAAATTTAAAAATTTTATAAATTCTTAAATTTTTATATTATAATAAATTTATTAATATTATAAATTTATTTATATTACTATTATAATAATTTTATTTATATTACTATTATAATAAATTTATTTATATTACTATTATAATAAATTTATTAATATTAAATAAAATTTGAATAAAGTATTGATCATGAAATAATTTTAAGTTTAGTTATATATTTGTAAGCTTAGTGTTAATTGTAATAGATTAAATGAAGTGGGATCCAAAGTTGAGGATTAATAATGGGGATGAAGGTTGTAGATTAGATTTATATATATATTAAACTTAACAATACAAATATTTTAAATTGCCCTCAATCATAAGAGTGAAACCTTGACTTTAGCCAGTTAATATAATTACAAATATTAATCATGTTTTGCTATATATTAAAACCTTATTTATATTTTTAAAATTACATTTTAGGAAGAAGTTAACACATAATTATCCACTACTTATTATCCTATATTTACATATGAAACAGACTAAATATATAAAAATTTTATTAATAAAATAAAGGTTGTAGATTAGATTTATATATATATTAAACTTAACAATACAAATATTTTAAATTGCCCTCAATCATAAGAGTGAAACCTTGACTTTAGCCAGTTAATATAATTACAAATATTAATCATGTTTTGCTATATATTAAAATCTTATTTATATTTTTAAAATTACATTTTAGGAAGAAGTTAACACATAATTATCCACTACTTATTATCCTATATTTACATATGAAATAGACTAAATATATAAAAATTTTATTAATAAAATGAAGGTTGTAGATTAGATTTATATATTTTACAACAATGCAAATATTTTTAATTGCCCTCAATCATAATAAAAATTAACTAAGAGTGAAACCTTGACTTTAGCCAGTAAATATAATCATAAATATTTATCATATTTTGCTATATATTAAAATCTATTTATATTTTTAAAATTACATTTTAGGAAGAAGTTAACACATAATTATTCACTACTAATTATATAAAAATTTTATTAATAACAATATATCAAAAATTAACAATATAACAAATATAAATATCAAAATTATATAGTATTAAAAATATCTAAAGTTGTTTCAGATGTTTCTGCTGTTTGTGTATTTCTTCTATTAATCTTGATAATTTGCATTGTTTTTAAAACTTCTGTCTTGAAGAAATAGTCTTCATCAGAATCGTAACCTTCCAATACATCAACCAGGCTATCCAAAAAGATTCTATATAAAAGATAAATAAATTATAGATAAAAATAAGAATTACTGGATACTAGAAGATTTTTTTTCCAATACACTCATAAGCTTTTGCAAATCATTTTGATTTTTAGCAGGGTTCCTTGTTTGAGGAGGGGATTCCTGAAAATTACTGACAGTAGGTATGTCAGCAACCGTGGCTTGCATGAAATTAATATATTTCTTATATTTATATTCATGCACCCCTCCTCTAGATCCTGAAGGTCTTGCTAATTTATCCTTGTTGAGTTGATCCTTAAAGTTCCTAAGGCGTTTCCTTAGGTAATTCACACTACAATCATAATCTGGAAACTCTTCTGATAATCTAAAAATAAAATTATTAATAATATTATATATTATTTAACTTAATTCCTATGATGGAAAGTTTTTCCATCACAGAAAATGTCTTCTTATGATCAGGATGCGCCTGATTCCAAATAACCTCTTCAGGTTCCAACATTTCAGCAAATCTTTTTGTTATTTCTTCATTCCATGATCTAAAATAATTACTAAATGATGATTTAATTATATATATTCTTACATTTTTGATGGTGTTTTCATTTCTCCACTTCAAAAAAATTTGAAAACGCAAGCAGGTTTATAGTGCGTACAAATTGTGCGTTGCAACGTTGCGTTTCAAAACGCAAACAATGCATTTTAAATGCATTCGTTCAAATTGAACACATTTCCGTTTTTCATTTAAATTATTTTTTTCAAAACGTAAACCTGCTTGCGTTTTCAAATTTTTTTGAAGTGGAGAAATGAAAACACCATCAAAAATGTAAGAATATATATAATTAAATCATCATTTATTAATTATTTTAGATCATGGAATGAAGAAATAACAAAAAGATTTGCTGAAATGTTGGAACCTGAAGAGGTTATTTGGAATCAGGCGCATCCTGATCATAAGAAGACATTCTCTGTGATGGAAAAACTTTCCATCATAGGAATTAAGTTAAATAATATATAATATTATTAATAATTTTATTTTTAGATTATCAGAAGAGTTTCCAGATTATGATTGTAGCGTGAATTACCTAAGGAAACGCCTTAGGAACTTTAAGGATCAACTCAACAAGGATAAGTAAGCGAGACCTTCAGGATCTAGAGGAGGGGTGCATGAATATTAATTTCATGCAAGCCACGGTTGCTGACAGACCTACTGTCAGTAATTTTCAGGAATCCCCTCCTCAAACAAGGAACCCTGCTAAAAATCAAAATGATTTGCAAAAGCTTATGAGTGTATTGGAAAAAACATCTTCTAGTATCCAGTAATTCTTATTTTTATCTATAATTTATTTATCTTTTATATAGAATCTTTTTGGATAGCCTGGTTGATGTATTGAAAGGTTACGATTCTGATGAAGACTATTTTTTCAAGACAGAAGTTTTAAAAACAATGCAAATTATCAAGATTAATAGAAGAAATACACAAACAACAGAAACATCTGAAACAGCTTTAGATATTTTTAATACTATATAATTTTGATATTTATATTTGTTATATTGTTAATTTTTGATATATTGTTATTAATAAAATTTTTATATAATTAGTAGTGAATAATTATGTGTTAACTTCTTCCTAAAATGTAATTTTAAAAATATAAATAGATTTTAATATATAGCAAAATATGATAAATATTTATGATTATATTTACTGGCTAAAGTCAAGGTTTCACTCAGTTTATTTTTATTATGATTGAGGGCAATTAAAAATATTTGCATTGTTGAGTTTAATATATATAAATCTAATCTACAACCTTCATTTTATTAATAAAATTTTTATATATTTAGTCTGTTTCATATGTAAATATAGGATAATAAGTAGTGGATAATTATGTGTTAACTTCTTCCTAAAATGTAATTTTAAAAATATAAATAAGATTTTAATATATAGCAAAACATGATTAATATTTGTAATTATATTAAGTGGCTAAAGTCAAGGTTTCACTCTTATGATTGAGGGCAATTTAAAATATTTGTATTGTTAAGTTTAATATATATATAAATCTAATCTACAACCTTCATCCCCATTATTAATCCTCAACTTTGGATCCCACTTCATTTAATCTATTACAATTAACACTAAGCTTACAAATATATAACTAAACTTAAAATTATTTCATGATCAATACTTTATTCAAATTTTATTTAATATTAATAAATTTATTATAATAGTAATATAAATAAATTTATTATAATAGTAATATAAATAAAATTATTATAATAGTAATATAAATAAATTTATTATAATAGTAATATTAATAAATTTATTATAATATAAAAATTTAAGAATTTATCCCTAATGATTTTAGATTCCTGTGAGCTTGAGTTGTTTTCCCTGCTTACCAAAAATGGTCTTGTTGTAAGGTTAGCCAATGTAGGATCTGTATTGATGATAATATAATTTTAAAAATATATATAAATATGATTTTTATATATTTATTTAAATTTAAATATTGGTATTACCTATATCATCAATGGAAGCTGATCCTTCTTTGTTGATGATAATGTTATGTAGAATGCAAATAGCCTTTATCACTATCTCTATGCTAGGTAGTCCTATTTCTATTGGCTTACTTAGAATGTGATACTTGAACTATAAGCTAGTTGTGCAAATGATACACCAGTTATTAAATACCTATTATATAAATAATTAATAAATTAAATTTATTTTACCTTAATGTAACAAACAAACGATCCTCAGCATCGATTTGTTTGTTACAGTTAGTAACTTTTGGATTAATATCCTCATATATGAAATATGAGCTCCAGTATATAAGAAAATGTCGCTCTTCTCATTCTTGTATAATTATAAAATTGCGAATTTGTTAAATCGCCTTTAATATTAATATATTCAGAAAAAAGATTTCTTTTAACAAATATTTTGGACGTCTTGCTCTTCTTCTTTCCTTTATTTCTTTGTAGTAAATACAAAGCAAGTAATTTTTTTTGTTTTAAATTTAAATAAAAAAATAAAAGTTAACGCATCAATTTATACATGGCTGCGTTTACGTTTTTTTATATGCGTTTTAAAACGCTGCGTTGCAACGCACAATTTGTACGCACTATTACGTTTTGAAAAAAATAATTTAAATGAAAAACGGATATGTGCTCAATTTGAACGAATGCATTTAAAATGCATTGCTTGCGTTTTGAAACGCTGCGTTGCAACGCACAATTTGTACGCACTATAATGTTATTATAATATTTTTCTCGTAAAAAAGCAATAAATCAATCAAATTACACATTAATCATTTTCTTTGTTATTTTTATTTTCAATATTATTTTTTAGCCTTTCGTATCATGCAGCCTTTCGACTTTTAGACCTACCCTATTTTTTTGATTATTTTTTTATTAAATTTTTTTAAATATATTTTTTTGATTGATATTTTTTTTTATATGATTTTTTTAATAAATTTTTTTAAATATATTTTTATTGATGTTTTTTAATATATTTTTTTAAATATATTTTTTTATTGATATTTTTTGATTGATAATTTTTAATATATTTTTTTAATAAATTTTTTTAAATATATTTTTTTGATTGATATTTTTTAATATATATTTTAAAAATGATTATTATATATTTATATTTTACGTAATTTCATCTATTATATACCTTTTGATAGATAATTTTTTAGGTAATAGTGACAATTGTCATAATCGTTATTTTTGAACTTTTTTAAGTTTTTTTAAAGTAAATGGGTAAAAATATGTTTTGTAAACATGTTAAATTAATATTTCAGTGAAAGTGTACTATGGAAAAGTGACAATTGTCATAATCGTTATTTTTGAACTTTTTTAAGTTTTTTTAAAGTAAATGGGCAAAAATATGTTTTGTAAACATGTTAAATTAATATTTCAGTGAAAGTGTAACTATGGAAAAGTGACAATTGTCATAATCGTTATTTTTGAACTTTTTTAAGTTTTTTTAAAGTAAATGGGTAAAAATATGTTTTGTAAACATGTTAAATTAATATTTCAGTGAAAGTGTAATATGGAAAAGTGACAATTGTCATAATCGTTATTTTTGAAATTTTTTTAGGACCAAACATATTTTTACCCATTTACTTTAAAAAATCTAAAAAAGTTCTAAAATAACGATTATGACAATTGTCACTTTTCCATAGTACACTTTCACTGAAATATTAATTTAACATGTTTACCAAACATATTTTTACCGATTTACTTTAAAAAAAGTTCAAAAATAACGATTATGACAATTGTCACTTTTCCATAGTAGACTTTCACTATATTAATTTAACATGTTTACAAAACATATTTTTACCCATTTACTCTAAAAAAACTCAAAAAAGTCCAAAAATAACCATTATGACAATTGTCACTTTTCCATAGTAGACTTTCACTGAAATATTAATTTAACATGTTTACAAAGCATATTTTTGCCCATTTACTTTAAAAAAACTTAAAAAAGTTCAAAAATAACTATTATGACAATTGTCACTTTTCCATAGTACACTTTCACTGAAATATTAATTTAACATGTTTACAAAACATATTTTTACCCATTTACTTTAAAAAAACTTAAAAAAGTTCAAAAATAACGATTATGACAATTGTCACTTTTCCATAATACACTTTCACTGAAATATTAATTTAACATGTTTACCAAACATATTTTTACCCATTTACTTTAAAAAAACTTAAAAAAGTTCAAAAATAACGATTATGACAATTGTCACTTTTCCATAGTACACTTTCACTGAAATATTAATTTAACATGTTTATAAAACATATTTTTACCCATTTACTTTAAAAAAACTCAAAAAAGTCCAAAAATAACGATTATGACAATTGTCACTTTTCCATAGTACATTTTCATTGAAATATTAATTTAACATTTACAAAACATATTTTCAACCATTTACTTTAAAAAAAGTTCAAAAATAACGATTATGACATTTGTTACTATTATATAGAATAAACTAATAAGAAAAAATTTACAGGCCTTCTTTACCAAATTAACAATTCTTGAAGAGAATATAAACGACCAATCCAAATCATAAAACTATATGATAGTTAGAGCTTCCTCTTAGATTACATGATGGAAGCTAGATAAGTAATCGAGAAAATTATTGTGAGATTTTAAATTTCTAAAAGATTATCATCCATTTTTAATGATATATAAACGACTACACAGTTGACCATTATTGCATATCTAAAATATGCAATCGCTCTCAGCAGCTGTAGTAATAATCTTAAATTACATAGCCACACAAATAATAGATGTTGGTTACTTTACAGTCATAGCCATGACACTCACGATGGTAACCCATATCAGAATTTATTATGTTAGAATTGATGAAACAAAAATATTAAAAATCTTTAGAAGAAATTATGCAAATATAATGAAGCCTTGAGTTATTTATACGGCAAGGATGACATATTAGAAATGAAACATTTTGTGACTATAAAATATAAACCAGAGTGATATCATAAAAGCAATTAAAATTTTGTATAATATTGTCGCACCATCTCTAGTTGGTATATTATATCTTAAAATAATAGTAGTTTGTAATAATATCTAAAATATACTTGTATTAAAAATTTAACTTAAAACTGTTTTTCAAAGTAGAAAAAATGGCTTTCCTAAAAACATGTAAAAAAATAGAAGAAAATATATCTAATTTATTACATCCATTGTGGGGTGAATAATAAAATATTTAATTATAATAATATTTTAAATAAATAGATGGCGTTAAATAGATGAATGCAAATAGTTACTTATATTTATTATCAAAAGCATGGATTAGTAAAATTTTAAAAATATTAACTATAATATATTATATAACTGTCAAATACGTCTGCAAAAGTGGCATTTTACCTAATATTTTATAAATAATTATATATAATAGAGGATGATGAACTATATGTTTACTTATTTTTTATAAATAAATTCTTATACTTATTTGGATAGGACCTTGAAAATAATTTTAGAAAGAGACATGATAATTAAATTTTAAAATCAATGATTAGGTGATTAATGATGCTAAACTTGGCTAATTACAATTAAATTTGTTAATTTTCAATTAATAAATGATTATATGAATTTAATTAGGGTTATATCAATGATTGGGTTATATAATAATTTAAATAATAAAAGTCAATTAAGATTCAACTGTTAATGCTAAATTAATATTTAGTGAGTGATATTGATATATTTTTAACACAGAATTTGATCGCAAGCTGTCATAGTGAAAATATAATTTATATATATTAATCTAATCTAATAATTAAAATATTATTCATTTAATAAAAAGACAGTCTTATTAATTTTTAAATAATAATATTAAATCTATATATTACTTAATAGAATTATAAAAGAAATTGTTCAGGGAGCAATTAAAACACTATTTTTAGTTCAAGGGGATATTAAGGAGCCACTAAAAAAATTTTTTTGCTTCAGAGGCTATTCAAATTTTTCAGGGGGCTCGAGCTCCTGCGCGCCTCCATCCCCTAGCGACTCCACTGGTTTTAATTATTTATATGATAGTTTATATGCATAATAATAAATGACAAAATATGAAATTAAAAATAATTGTTCAGAGTTAGCAAATTTAAAAAAAGTATATTATATTAATATAAAACCCGGCCGAATGCTAAACAAAAGCGGGCCGAATGCCCACAAATTAGGGGATATGGGGGGTCTTTGCCCCCCCCCATAATTTTTTTTAAATTGAGCCTGAGATAGTAAAGGTTAGCGACGCCGCTGATATTAGGCACCGTGTGTTTTCAGAGCTGATAAAGTTTTTATACTGGGCCAGCTTTTAATTCTGCAATAAAATTTTACAAGGTGTTTTTGTGTAATATAATGTATGTTACTATACTCTTTCGAACTATGGCTTATAATATGGGTCAATGATGATATCTTGACAATAATTTGAGATTACAATTTATTATTTTTTGATTTTATGAATGATGTTTTTTTTAAAAATATAAGTAATGAAATTTTACGTTACTGTCATACGTCTGTCAAAAATGTAAGTATCAGATTAAATTTTTATTGTTATAAATTTTTTAATATGTCTGCAGAACAAAAGAACAAAAATGGGGCTTTTATGAAGTTTTTTGAATCTGCCGAAACTTTGTGTCAATTAGATAATATCAAAAAATGGTTTGAGAAACATTACAGAAATGTAAGAAGAATTATATCATATTTATTTTTATTCTTATTGATTTTAGTATTCTGTACAAGAACAACCGACTGCCAAATCATTGGCTTTATTAACTTTAAATTTAATTCAATTTCAAGATGAATATTTAAGTATTAAAGCAGAAAATCCTCCTATAACAAGGATACCAGTAATTAAAATGGAAACACATTATAATAGTTTGATTAATAGGCAAAATCTTTTTTAGATTTTAAACCTGGGGGTGTGTTATGCCAGATATTAGCTATAGTTTATAAATTTAAATCAGATCAAGGATGGTAATATACTTTGATTATATATAGGCATCAATTTTTTAATAATTTAAATCAACACTTGTAATAAACAATAATTTTAAATAGAAATTTTTTGAAATCTTTAAAAGTTTTATTTTTCATTATTTTAATTAGGCGAAAACTAGATTTCTCTTCTCCATCAAGATTGGAATCTAACTTAGAATTATTTATAAATATTGAACAAACTTTATTAGCATCGAATGCCATAACTAGACCAAAAATATACTTAGTCTCAAACAATAGACCAACTTCAAGCATCAATAATCCAAATAATATTAGAATTCAAGCTATTGAAATAGTTCAAAAGCATAAAGGAATTTTGGTTGAATCAATGGAAGAGGCAACTCATATTGTATATTGTGATCCAATTATTAAACTAACAATAAAAGAGTTGACAAGTAATATTGGAAACAAATGTCCAGACACTTCTATGATTGTTGATGATGAGGATGATGATAAACCTTTAAAGAATATTGGATTATCAAATTCTAAAGAAGGTTTTATGATTTTTTTAAAAGCAATTAAATTAAAAGTTTCTACCCTGACCCAATTTGAGAAAATATTTTCTTAATGATCCATCTCCAAAACAAAACATTATCATAGTTTCAAGACTTGGTAATATTTCAGGGATCCAAATTGAAACAAATATCGGTTCGGTTCAGGTTCGTATAAAAATAATGGTTTAAGGTTCAGGTTTGGTTCGCAAAAAATAAAAATATCGGTTTGGTTCGAACCTCTAAAAACTGGTTTGAACACATTTGTATTCAAACCTACATTAGGATTATGTATCAGAAAATTTTTTTTTTTATTTTATAATTAAATTAAAAACCATCATTTTTATTAATTGCACATTATAAAATAATATTTAATTTATAAATATAACAAATAAAGATATCAATGATTAATTTAAATATGAACAATTACTTAAATTTTTTTTATTAAGCTGCACAATTAATATATTTTCAAAATTCGTCTCACTCAAATTACATCTATAAGGAGATAATATAAATTTAATTGTTGAAAAACATCCTTCCACACTAACTTGGGTAGCTGGCATTGCCAGTATGATATCAGATTTGATGTGTCATTTATAATATATGTATTTATATATTAGATTTAATTTTTTTCATTACAATTTATAAGCTTAAAATATTGCAAAAAGCAATACACTAAAGTTTACAAAAATTATGACTGACGTTTATCAATCAAATGTGATTGATAATAATTTTTAAAACAATTTGATTATAATTAAAATATTTGCAATATACTACTAGTAATAACTTACACATTATTTTATAAGCATAAAATTATGAGACTTGAACCGGTTCAGAGGCATTTTAGCGGTTCGGTTAGAAATTTTTTAGAGGTTTAGGTTCGATAAAAAATACAGGTTTTTAGTGGTTTAACAGTTCGGTTCAGGTTCGGTTTGGATCCCTATAATATTTGATAAAATTTGCCAGTTTAAAAAATTAAACTCATTCATATATTCATATTTGGTTAAAATGAATAAAGTTAAATAGAAATATTAACTTATTCAATTTTTTTGCTAATAACAAACCATAATTTACCCAATAAAATAAATATACAGGATATTCCATTTTAAAATTTGTTTTTTCATATGAATAAAATTTAATATTGTATGATAAATAATTTTTAATCTAAAATTTTTGAATATTGGACTGCCCAATTTAACAATATTGGCTGATGCTTATATTCATTTTTTAAATATTAAAAAAAATAGTGACATTCACAAATTTGTTAAATATTAGTATTACATATGATCAAAAACATTCACATGATCAAATAATTTTAAATAAGGCAAAATGGAAATCCTGCATCTTATACTATAATAAATACCAGAATCCAATTGATGCTGGCCATTAATGTTTTTTTTTTACAAAATTTGGAGTGGTACTAGTAATAAATAAGCCGCAGGCCAAGCTAAATTTTAAAATATCAAAAATGGCCATTAAAATGGTGATGAATCATTTAACATTCTCACTTATATTTACAATCCTTTTGAATTGTCATTTATAAAGTCAATGTTGAATATTGAATCGGCTTGGCACCAATATTTAGTGTTTTCAAAAATATTGCATAGGGCTAATACCTGTAAAAAAATTGATCCAATCTAAATTTTTTACTTTTTTAATATTTAAAAAAATTTATTTATTTATTTTTATAAAAATTGGAATTTTTTTTAAAAAATAAATAACAATGGAAATGTCCAAAGCCCCCTAAATTTTATTTATTTAAATTAAAAATCAAAGAGAAACCACTAACAAACAAAATAATTGAAATTGTTAGTAATATAGATGACCTGCCTTACAAAGAAATCAAGGAATATTTAAAATAATCTTTATATCTAGACAGTATAATAAGATATCTTATTTAGGCTTGTTTGGGTTATGAATGACCCATTTGTTTGGGTGGTATCTCATTATTTTCCAAAATTTGTATAGAACCCACAATTTTAAAATGCTAATTTTATGTCTGTTCATTTAGATAACTCTAATAACGTTGATATTGATATAATATCCTCTGTGGATACACTTGACTATTGGAGAATTAATGAAAAGTATTTAACTTTGTAAAAACTTGCACCAGAGCTCCCAATAGTCACCATTTTTTTTATCATTCCCCATGTGAAGCTGGGAGGTGAATATTAGGGGAGCAATGAAAAAAAAAGAATGACTATAAGATGGAAGAAATAGAAAAAAGAGACAAAGATATGAAATATAAGAAAATATAATATTTATTTTTACTTTAAGACTTGACGAATATTGGGTTTCAGTAAACATGCATTTTAGCCATATAAAAGAGAAAATAATATAATAAAATTTATAATATATATTAAATTTTTTACCTGTTTCAAATATTTTCAAAATTATATCACTACTTATTTGATGATGAAGATGTCTTTTCTTTGCCCAAAATAATGTCATAAATCATCTGAAATTATAGGCAAAAAAGGATGTATAAAATATAATTTACTGTTATGGATGATGAAGATGATGTCTTTTATATGATTATAATTATGTTATCAGTTTGATTAATATTAAGATAAAAATTAAAAAAGTATAAATTAGTATTGTTTAATGGCTAGTTTTGAGCCGATTTTTAAAAACGGCTAACTCAATATTTTATCTAGAAAAATATTATGCAAGCATTAAGATTTTACTCGTAGAATGGCAAAAAGGTTTGAATATCTATTAAAGAAATCTCAAAGCTTAGGCAATATTTTTCTGGCTAAAATATTGCATTAGTAAAAATCGGCTCAGATTCACTGTTGTGGCTACCCACTTTGATTAACATTAATTTACTGACTAAAAAAATAAAATAAATTATAAAGATAAAAATTAAAAAGAGTATAAGATTAATTGTTTATAAAAATTAAAAAGAGTATAAGAATTACTGTTAAGACTAACCAGTTTGATTATAAGTAGGGCTGCGCCGAATCCGATCCGATATTGCTTCAAAACCGATCCGATACCGATCCGATATTTATACTGATTTTTAATCACCCCCCGTTTGAACCAAATGTAATTAAGAAATCAATATTTTTTATGCAAAACATCGAATTATGAATTTAATTTAATTTTTTTATTTCTACAATTAAGACTATAATAAAAAAAATATATTTAATAATATATTCATTTTATGTTGGTATGAATTATAAAATTGTAATATTTAATATATAAAATTATAATATATTAGATTTTTTTAATAAATATGAGAGCCTCCAGATTTTCTGGAAATAAACTTCTACGATATGGACTGTCTATATCTCTTGCCGTACTGAAGGCAGACTCAGATGATTTCGCAGATAACTCATTTTGCAAAATTATCTTTGTAAAATATTTCCATAATTCAGATACCATATTTAAAAAAATTCTTTTATTTAAAGTATAAATAAAAAAATTGGCGTTTAAAAAGATTTAAAATAAATAAAACTTTGGGTGTTCCTTTCTATTTTTATAAAAAAAAACTTAAAATACTATAAATTTATTTTAAAAATGAAATAAAATTTAAAAAAATTATTTAGAAAATATTATAATAATGTAAAATAAATATACATAACATAAAATAAAATAACAAAAAAAGGAAAGTAAAAAGATCGGATCGATTTTACAGGTATCGGCCTGATCCGATATTTCCGGAAAACGCTAAATATTGGTACCGATCTGATCCGATATTTAATATCGGCACAGCCCTCATTATAAGATTTATTGTTGATAAAAATTAAAAAAAAGTATATAAGAATTATTGTTGAGGCTACCCAGAAAATTTAAGAGTATAAGATTTACTGTTGATAAAAATTAAAAAGAGTAAGATATTTACTGTTAAGGATGTTAAAAGTATAAAATTTACTTTAGATAAAAATTAAAAAGAGTATAAGAATTACTATTGAGACTACCCTGTTTGATTAATATTATGATAAAATTAAAAAGAATAAAAAATATTACTGTTGAGGATGTTGAAGCAATAACACCATGGTCTTGATTTTCCTTGTAAATAAATATTATATAAAATATTATAATTAAAAAAATTAAAAAGAATATAAGACATGTTACTAAAATGTACCTGATTATTTCCAATATTTAGTTCCATCTTAAATTTGTAAATAAAAATAATAATGGCTGTTATATTCTGCTATTGTTTAATCTTAAATTTTTAGAATTTAATTAATAATCTGGAAATATATAGATAAAAATACATAACTTATAAGAACTCGTAATGACCAAGCTGTAGGCAGCTGTGGCAAATATTTACATATCAAATTTAGTTTCGAGTTCAATTCCACCTCATGGCTTGCACCTCACAAAACGTGACAATTTTTCTGTGACACATCTTTTATTATATAAAGGATATTACAATTTTATAATTCTAGAAAATATGGATTTTTTGATTACATTTGGTTCAAAGGAGGATGGTAAAAAATCAATATAAATATCGGATCGGTTTTGAACCAATATCGGGAAATATCGGATCAGTGAAAAATATGTGATAGACACAGACCTATAAATTATCAAATTTTAAACATCCACTCCATGCTATGTGCAGGTCACTGAAAATTATTTATCCAAATTTTTATAATACATAAAAATAATATTATATATATTATAATTTATTATGTTACAAGAGAAAAGGGAGGGGGGGGAGGGAAGATTTCTTATAATTTGTAGTATATTAAACAAAATAAATTAATAAAAAATTGAAAATATTTGATTAATTAAAATTGAACATACAATAAAGATAATAGTTGTAATTATTTAAAAAAAAATTATATTCCAATAAAATAGGCGATAACTGTAATGGGTGATCTGATGTTCCTGAGGATATTTAATGGCATTAGAAAAAGTTTTAGAATACATTTTTGACTCTCAGTTGATTTTATTAGATCTCCTTAGAGCAAGTGTAATAATATATTTTTTTAAAACCTGTTTTACATACATTAAGGTTGGTAATTTTCATTTGCTTATTTTAATTTATATTT